GTCGCACGGCGCCAGCCGCCCCGCGGCGCCCTGCGCGCCGTAGAAGGCCACGTAGTCCCGCAGCAGCGCCCGCTCCTCCGCGCCCGCCGCCGCCTCCTTCATGGCGGCGCCCCTCGCCGTGCCGGCAGGCGGCGCCTTGCCATTGGCCGGGGCCGCGCCGAGCCGCGCGCCCATTGGCGAGAGACCGCGTCGCTCAGTGCGGGGGCGGGCCCCGCTGAAGCGAAAGCGAAAGGCGGCCGTGCGCGGGGCGCCCCCTGGCGCCGCCTCACGGCGCTGCCTGTGGCGGCGCGCGCGGCCTCGCGCCCCACGCGGCCCACGCGGCTCACGCGGCCAGGGCGGCTCCGCCTGCGCGCGCCGAGGAGGGGCTGGAGGCCGCGGCCCTTGCCCGAGCCATGCGCGAGAGGCTCCTAGGCTGCATGGAAATGGCCGCGGGGATGCGCAGGTGGAGCTCACCTGAGCTCGCTTTGGCCAGCCCGACCCCCGGGCTGTGGCGTTGCCTCCTGACCGTGGGCACCTGTGGGAGCTGTGAAAAGGTGCCGTGAGCGGCCGCCCTGGCACCTTCACTTGGTGCGGCCCGGGGGGACTCGAGTCTTCAGCATGACCCGCGCTGACGCGACTCGCTGCAAGAGTAAGTCTGGCCTTGTGCCTCCTTAGTGACCACTCCTGCTGTGGGCTTTTTGCGCTGGTTTTACAAAGTTGGGTTTTTTTGTGCCGTTCAGTGCTTGGGCTGCCTGTTTTCCCTTGGTTCGGGAAGTCTCAGGTCAATGTTTAGGAGTTTGCTGTGTAGAACACGACTGTGCCGTGCTGCACGCAAACGGCCTCAACGCTGACCCTCCAAGTAAGGGCTCCGTCGGTCAGGCAGGGAAAGGCTGGCAGCTGTCCGGAACGAGGCAGACGCAAGAAAAGCGCGGGAGCTGCATGGAATCGGGTATTTCTTTACTAAAAAAATGTAAAATTGCGATCCTAAAAACCAAAGCAAACGAGATGACTACAGGCATTACGGTATTAGTAACACTTAGCATATCCAAACAGTTTTCTTTCTGATATTAGTTATGTAGAAGGGCAGTGTTCAGCCTGTTTTTAGAGCAACAGAAGTTTGGGTAAATTCTGATTGGAATTTCTTAAGAGTCTTAACTTGACTCCTGTTAAACCCAGGAGAGGTTCCATCAACTTTGTCATTTATCCTGAATTTTAACTATTCACAAAGAAATAAAAATTATATTTTTTGTTGTGTCAGATTGCTACTATTCTGATAGTAGCAGTAGCTTTACGGTTGCAAGCTTCTTTTTCTAATATTGTCTGTCTGCAGTAATGTATGGATTGGGTTTACAAACTTTTTTCACAACTTCGGATATCCCATAGAAATATAGAAGAGAATGTTCTAAGTTACTCCTGTAAGCAGTCCTGGTACTGAAGGTCCTGACTGAAGATAGCACACTCTTAATTAATAGTTTGCTTTCTAAAAATACTGTATATAATGAATGAAGTGACCTTTTATGCTATATTCAGACATGAAGTATTTTTCAATAGAAACTTTTTTTGTCAAGATAACCTAGCTATACACTTAGTGATCACTTACAGAAATGCCACCATAGTTGTACTTTTATTCCTTGGATCCTTGCTCGCTGCTGTTGAGGGAGCACCCCAGGAGCACGATGTGCTTCTCTATTCCAGGTGAGCCTGGACGTGCATGTTCCCACTGGCTTCCCTATCCCCGGCTCCCAGAAGCCGGCGGGTTTCGGTGGGTGGCTGCAGTGCTGCGAGCTCTGTGCTGGAGACGGTTCGGTGCTGCACATTTATTCACAAAGCAATGCACCACAAGAGGGAGTAGACAGCTGTTTGTAAATACTGCTGCTAGGTAGAATCCAATCACAATGCGGAGGATCTCTGAGCTCTTCTCAAATGAAGAAAGACTTTGATTAGGTTTACATGATTTTGGTTCTACAAACATTTTTATCAGGAGTTGAAATATAAATACCCCTTTTCACAAGTGATATGGTTAAAATTAGGTGTCTGAAAACTCTTTGCACATTTCTGCAGATGGAAAGTTAGTGGAAGAGCAGGGAATCCCTGCCCTGCTAAAGCCAAACAGCTAAAAAGGTTTCCCCGAGTGCACAGCGGCTCTGCACAAGCAGCCACGGCAGCAGGGCCTATTCGGCATAAATAACCCTCTGTGCTCTGTTCTGCATTGTGCTGCTGCGCCGGCAGACCCAGTCAGTGTATTTCTATGTTAGTTTCCTTTTCTCGCCCTAATACAATAGTGTAGAGTGTTGTCTTTCTTGTTGTGCTGGATACAAAGTATCCTGCAATTTTTCCAGCTGGTACTTTATGCAGGAATAGTTCTGTCCCTTACAAACCTGAATGTGAAATGTTGCCTTCCCCCAGCAATGCTTTTTTTACTTTTTTTTTTATTTTATTTTTTTTCCTCACTACAAAATTCTAGATCTTTATTGCTTTAATTATCGTATACTGGGAACATTGAAAATCTTGCTGAGCTGTGAAGGAATTCTCTATATTATCAAAATAACTATCTACTCTTATCTACTTAGCAAAAAGTGCAAACTTACCTTATCCTTTCCTGTTCATATGACTCAGTGATAATGAAATTTATATAGCAGTAGTAGTCATACAATTACTTCTCATCTACAGATTAATTATAATTGTGTCAGTCTTTGGAGTATTGAGTGATGATTACAGTTTAAAATTACTTAGTATCTACAGAAAACTGAAGTGCAACTTTAATAGCTTGGATGATGCTTCCTTTTAAATATGGTTATATTATCACATACAAATTGTTCAGTGAGGGGTAGTAAACTGAAGTCCATTTCTGTCAGTGTAAAAATTAATTTCTTTTTCAGTGAAAATGCCTCTGATGGATTTAATGTAGATGACACTGGTAACCCTGATAGCTGACACCGACTGAGGATGGGGTTTAGTCCCTATGTGGAAGTAGTTTGTGGTGCAAGATTAAACTCACACGTCTGCAGTTTCCCTGTGCTGCTCCTGCTTGTGTGCATCTCCAGCTGCTATCCGTTCATTAAATGAATGTGCAAGGAGTCCAGGTCTGTGAGCAGATACTAGATTTACAAGTAGCAAAATTTCGGTAAAACTTTTGGGTTTTTTTTTTTGGCTGCTGAAATACTTGGACAAAAAATTATGTAAAATGTTTCTCCTTTCTTGCCAAGACACTTACTTAATGAAATGTGCTAGTGACGCCTACAGAGACAACAAAATGCTCTTCTCCTTCTGCTCTACAACATGCTAAGTATAAAAAGAGCAGGTAATGTTGACTGGGTGATCTGTGTCTACATTAGGTGTTGCTGTTTTCAGCGTGTTTTGAAGGGCTTCGAAAAGGCCTGATGCACTACTTGCCATTGCAGTGTTTATGTTTTGGGATGGGAACACTGATGCACGAAGAGAAGGTTATCTAAACTTTCAAAACTCACTATAAAAATTAAAAAAAATCCTGTTATATTCCTGTTTAAAAATATGAAATAGGTTAAACTTAGAGTATTAAAATATAAAATAGATTAAACCCACAGAGGTTTTGTTCTTCCATGTAAATGTTTTTCTCGGCCTGAGTCCTTTGGAAGAGTGGAAGGGAAACGTCCCCTTGAGTCACAGGATCCGGCTCAGCAGGGTCTCACAGTCTGTGGAAGAGGTTTTCAGTGCGTCCACGGGGGCCTGTGGGAGGGGGACGTTCTGTTCACACAGCAGTGCCTCGTAGAGGGGCGCAGCCTCCAGGGACAGGGGGGAGAGGGGCCGGGGCTGCCGCCAGTGCTGCAGTCCCGCAGCCTCCGCCGGCGCTCCCGGTGCTGCCTCCTCGGCCGTGCCGGGGTCTCTGGCTGCTGCGCCTCTGTGACAAGGGTCCGTAAGCGAATATGGGGGAGGATCATCTGTAGGAATGTAGATCTGTGTTGCGCCTGGGCCCACGCACTCATCGTAGCTGAAAGAAAAACAGTCTTTTTCATTAAATTTGTGACGCACAAATTTTCAACCTAACAGGGGTAGGTAAGGTGAGACTCGCCAGTCACATCCCCACCCCACCACAAGATGCTGAGTAGTTATCGAATGCACATCTCCAGAAGCCTCAAGTTAATCCCAGGCGGCTGTTCAGACACGTCCTTCTGCAGGAGGGCATGTGCTGTGGCGGTGGCAGCTGGGCTTGGGCCTCGGGATGAGCAGCACTCCTTCCTGCCGGCCGCAGGGAGCTGGGGGAGTGGCACCAGAACCTTGGGAAGGCTCCCTAAGCATAGGTTAGCTCCTACCTAAGCACAGGTTTAGGTAGCCCAGCACGTCTCGCAGCACTGATGTGCTCCAGGCTGGCCTGTTGTTTGCCTGCGATAGAGCCTCATCCGTTGGCCTAGAAAGTGGAGCTGGACCCACTTCTGCTCTCAAAGCAGCTCAGGGCTCGTGGGCTGTAGGAAGATGCTGTTTTCCGGCCTGTAGGCTCTGCAGGGATGGGGAAGAGGCACAACGCTGTGTTCTTAAATGTTGGGCCTGCTCTGTTTGAGGCTACCCTGCTTGGCTGTTTTGGGGATCACTTTTAATCTGATTCCTAGGTGGAAATATTTCCTGTAAAAACCTGGTCTTGTTCAGCTGAGCTGAAAAACGTCTCTGCAGGAGCCAGGCGTATTAAGAACCCATTTCCTCAACCACACTAACTGCTGAGTGATTAAGATTAGGATGTTTCCTGATGAATCCTGATGCATGTTTAGCATCCATCTTCCCTGCAGGCAGCAGGCACTCCTTCTGCCCCTGGTAATTGCATTACTGCCTTGCTAAACCTAAACTAATAAGCCCTGCTCTAGATTTTACGTGGATTGTGAGCTGACCCCACTGATGGGGCTGCTCTGCTACATCTGCTGCAATCAGCCAGACTTTGCTGTAGAAACCAGTGGTTCTGCTGCTTCACCTCAACATGAGCACATGGAGGGTAATGGGATTGATCATCTGGAAGTGGTTTTGGGGGAAGAGAGAAGCCTTTTAGCCACAAAATAAATGCTTTTGGAAAGTATTATGTTACTGCAGCATGATAATGGACTGCAGGAATGCGTTGCACTGCATCTCGTGGACATCATGCATCTCTTTCCATGCCTGCAAAAAGAAAATTCAGTTTCTTCTGTTTCCTGGCTCCTTGGTGACTTCACTTGAATTCATTTTTTCTTAATTGCAACCCCTTGGGGTTCGATGCATTTTGCAGGCGCTCACAAGCGAGGCCGAGTTGCTGCCTGCGCCGCTCTGTCTCGTGCCCTGTCCCGGTAACTTGGTTGTCGCTGCAGACTGCGCTAGACGGCTGCTGAGGAGGGATCCTGCCAGGAAAGGGGAGGAGGACTCGTGCCTGTAACACCAGCTTAGCAGATGTAAATGTGACCCACAAAGAGAAGAAGAATGCTTAAAAAATGCAGCGCGTTTTCAGTCTGACCTGACTGATTCAGAATGCAGCGAGTATTTGAAAGAGAGGGAGGATAACTTCATGAATTTGTCAGGTCTCATTGCCGTGAGTATTAGGATAGGTTTGTTGCTAAGGAGACCCAAAGGAGCTTATTTCACTAGCTGTCATTCATAAATTATGGCCCACTGAGGAGAGAAGAAGCTGCTGCTCACAGAATTTTTAAGGCAGCAAACAATAGCTAGCAAAACAAAACAGGTCTGGGGGATGAGCTCTTCTTTGGGAATAGATGTCTTCTTGTTTACTTCGTTCGTCTGTTACGTGTTGTGATGCTACTGAAATTCTCTTCTCTCTTTAATTCACTGATGACTGAGCATCTTCCTTTATAAAAGTAAACAGAATTGCTAATCTTTTCCCAGAAAATACGTGTGTTTACAGGTTTAAACTATGATAAAAACGGCATAGAGGATGTTGCCTAATAAAGCTGAAACTGGAACAAATATCCCGTGACTCTCTAAAAGGAGTATCAAAGGAAGAGCTAAACTGATCTGGTGGGTGACAAGGTTTCTGGTGGGTGACAAGGCTTTCTATTGTTAGTGATGAGAGGCTCGCTTGTGGCTGTGGGATGGGCCCATGGGGCGGTGCAGCCCTGTGCACCTTCCAGCTCTCCGTTCGCAGCATCCCGCTCTCCCTCGCTCCGAGCCCCGTGACCTTCCTCCACGATGGTCTCCTGGCACGGAGGAGTGAGGAGGCGGCTGGAGGGCAACCTCCTGTGCTGCACAGAGGGATGGATGGAGCTGCTGCTGCTCGGTGGCACCCGCAGCATCTGAGGAGCTCCTAGGGAAGGATTCTGCTTCCATGCAACCGAGACATCTGTAATGTTTGTCTAGATGGACTTGTTGGGATTCTACTTGCAGACTCTGATCTCTCAAGCGATGGTTTAATGTTGACACCAAGGCAATATCCCTGTGTCCATCAGATGGGCTGTTAGATGTGGGAGTTGGAGGGGAAAAAAATCCCTTCACAGCAAACAGCAACCAGCTAGTCAAAAATCAACCTGTTTCTACATCTAGTAGTAGTTAGCAATGCTGTGAGGGAGTGAAAGGGAGGGCTATGAGGACTGAGTGTATGCGGGTATTATCAGTAATAGGAGTCATCAAACCTGAGCAATATGATTCTCTCTAGAAATGGTCTTACTTAGATCAGATGAGGAATAGAGAGCATATTTTTAAGGGGGGGAAAAAAGCGTGTGAATACTGGACTAATGGATGATAAAGAGGTTTTCATCATAGTGAACCCTGCAGGACACATTTCAATGTGAAATATGGGGAGGAATTGTGTGGCTTCCATTAAAACTGTTCCTCAAGCAAAATCCCGTCATCTCTTGAGTCGCTGCTTGGTGATGTTACTGTATGAGACGTCGTGAGTCATCGATGAAAAAGGCGATAACCTGGGTTGCCTAAAGTGCAGTACGTGTCATTAATATCCAATCACCAAGGAGTGGAAAAAGCACTTAGTCAAGCAGGGTGAAATGGGTTTCCTCTGGCCAAAGTTGGTAAAACTCCTTCCATGTAAGAGCATGCAAATCTCTTTTCATATTTAAAAAAACAAACAAAAAAACCCCTGAAACGAACAAAAAAACCCCACAGTAATTCCAAGTATACTAGGTCTTTGATCAATACTGTACTTTCAGCCACTAAAAAAACCAAATAAACCCCAAGAGCTTCCCTTACTGCTCTGCACTCCTGTTCCTGTTTGTTACAGTCGTGTTATTGGCTTTTGGAGACCTTAGATTAGTTTTAATTTCTGTCTTCTGCTGTATGCATTACGAGGGATTCTGTTAATTTGGCCAGTGCTACATTTCACTAAACATTTGAAAATGTTATAATATGTAACAAGATTGACCCATGTAGTGTTGGATTTAAATGCACAAGGTCAAAGACACCTTCCTTCCACCTGCTTTCAGTCCAAACAATCTCTGTGTTCCTACTCATGCTTTACTAACTAGCAACTACACATTTTAATAATGTGCCATGGAGGACAGTGTGGAGGTAGCTACACATATATAGGCTCTTACATAAGACTCAACATATTCATATAATGCTTTTCATCAGGCTTTTGTGAACAGAAAGTTACAAAAGAATATATAATGTATTAATAGTAAGTTGAAAAGTCTCTACGTAACTTTGTTTTCAGCCATCTGCTATGCTCTACTTTTCCTGAAGTTTTGTCCAACTTGTGTAGCATTTAATAAGATTTTGATGATTTGCCAAAACTGTGTATTTTTTCCTAAAATACTTCAGTAGAAGCGAGGAGAAAAAAATCTAGATCAGTAACAATAGAAAGTTACATTTGCTTTTGCAGAACTGCAGAGCAGTGGGGTGAGCAGTGTGTCCTTGTACGTGCAGGGCCTGGTCTGTGAGGGCTGCAGCTGCCGTGGCTTTGGGGGTCCTGGGGGGCAGCGCCTGGGCCCCTCTATAGCCCTCATGCTGGGCTGTCAGTGTCCCCCAATATTTCCTTAGGGCAATGCAGGACGTGCCTGACACTTTTAATTTGCCCTAAGCTTCTCATAGCTGGAGGATTCATGGGGAACATCCCCATGAGTGCTGTCCTGCATCATTCCATATGCCATTCCAGAGAGAAAGCAGAGGTAAAAAGCCTGTTTTGTACTGAAAATGGAAGGAGGCCTCTCTATAATCTTGTCAGGTCTGTCTGCTGAAGAAGTTTGTTCTCTGAGCGTGTTCTCGGAATCTGGCCAGCTGCCCACTCAAGTTGTTGCTTGGGTGTCAGCTGGTTTCCTTTTATTAGTAAAGACTTGTAGGTGTGGGATCAAAACGGGTGCAAAATTGAAAGTGGATTTATATGAATTTTTACAGGTTAGATGTCAGGCTCAGAATAATTTTTCATATGTGAGCTCTTTGCTGAAACACTTGCACCATCTCTAAAAGTCAGTTTATTAGTTGGTATTGCTTCGTGTGATAATAGTTCATCAACAAGCTATACATAGAGGCTGATTGTACAACAGGAACTATAGAACAGAGAAAAGGAGCTCTGCATCCCACATTCAGACACGGGCTTTTGCAGAGCTCTCATTAGGGCCGGTTTTCTGTGCCTGTCCCGTACTGCTTGTTTCCTTGCCATGTGCCTTGCGTGCCCTGTCCGTCCCGGAGCAGGCCGAGAAGGTCTTCGCTGCTGCGTTAGAGAACATGAGAAAAGCTATCCTGCCTTTTCCCACATTGTTCATGTCTGAGAGCAGTCCGGAAAGGGTTGGTCTCATAAGCACAGATTTAACTTGAAACATAGTCCAGGGGAGGCCGGGAACGTGTGCTGACTGCCCGGCCGTTATTGGGGCCTTCTGGGCTGCGGCGCTGCCGAGGGCCTGGCCTGATGCTCTGTTTACAGTTGTTCCTCTGGTTTCCTTGGAGATCTGAAATCTGGGCCATGGGAACCCCGAGAGCATGAGGCCTGTGCGGGGTGCGCATGGCCTGGAGTGACCCCCTGCCATTCATTGTGACAGTGCCTGTACCCCCGGAATGCGGTATTCCAGGTAGATACAGAATTTTATCCCCATCCCAATTTAGGGGGAGAAGTTCCTCAGTTCCTCCACTTATCCAATATCCCTCAGGCAGAATGGTTCCCTTTCCATCCTAAGGAATCCCATAAAGAGAAGAAATTCTCAAGGAATTGATTAAAAGCTGGAGGCTGCTCTGTGTTGTGAAAGCAGCTCTGCAAGCTCACACGGATTAAGCAAAGCTAATTCAGAATAACTTGACTGGAGCGAAGTTTGTAATGGGAATGTACCTAGATAATTTTACTTGTGTATTTTAATGTCATCTTATAAGTATTCACATTAATGAGAATGTTAGTAAATGAAATGTTAGTAAATGAAAGTTAGTAAATAACTGTACACAAGTCTTAATAAAGTTATACTTTGCTGAGGAGAACTTGAACTAAGCAAAGTTCGTTTCTACTTAGCTTGGCCTGCTCTTTTGTGGTGCATGCAGGCCTAGCAGTTTTCTTTCCCTCTTCAAGAGGCTTTGCAAGGGTAGGGCTACAAGGCCAAGTGTCTCGGAGCAGGGCTTACCAGGGCGGTGAATCCGGATACAGGACGTTGACCCGAGAAAGTGTCTCCAGATAGGAAGCGAACTCGAAAGCTGGTGGGAACTCCTCCATGCATGTGGATCTCAGCTCTCCAAAAGAGCCACCATAGGAGAAGCCATCTGGAGCTGGAAAACAAGCAATAAATAGACTCTCTTTTATTTTCTACCCTTTTTAGGGAGTATTATTATTTACAATTGTGCCTTAGCGAATAGAGCTGGCTGCAGCTGTGCTTGGTGCCTGGGCCTGTGGCACAGCGACTGTGACACGTGGAGCTGCCCTACAAGATGCAGGTTTGTGAACCTCTTCCTGTGCATTTGAGGTAAAACTAACTTCGTCTTCCTTCAGCTTCAGAGGTTAGCAGGATTGCCAAAGCTCTCGGGAGCTGTAGAGACTCATCAGTTCTATGCAGGTACTTAAAAGTAGGCTTCTGCATCTGATTTTAAGTATCGATGTCTTAAGAGAGCAGCAAAAATGGATGTTACAACAACTGGTTCGTGTTAACTGTTAAAGTACGGGGCTTGTGCTCTGTGAGCTCAGTGCCAGCAGAGATGCTGCTGTACTGTGAAGTTGGCTGTCACCTACTCTTGCTCTGTTTTACTCATTTCTTTGTAATTGCTTGCCTGGTGGCCAGAGGCTTTTTGTTGCCCAAGGTGTTGAATATTCGAGTGGTAATTGCTGGCTTGTTAGCCGGCTCTCTTACCATAACTAGCGTCTCTCCTGAGCTGCGTGTGCCGTAGCCGCCCGTCCTTGCGCAGGCTGCCCACGATGATGGTGACGCAGGAGAGGACGAGCACGAGGCCGATGACCACCCCGGCCACCAGGAGCGGGGACACGAGCAGGCTGGGGTCGCTGCCATGTTCGCTGTAGCTGGGGAACTCGCTGGCCAGGCTGCTCTGGTTCGGGTGCACTTCTGTACACAGAGAGAGCGGGAGTTGTGGGGAAATTGGGTCAGTTGTGGGGAAAGCAAGACATCAAATTAATGCGAAAAATCAATGTGTGCTTTTATGGATGGCCTGCTTTAGCCCAATTTGTGGAGCTGTTGGTAACTGACTCTGAGCAGTTTTTCTCATGTTACCTGTGGAATGTCCTGGAAGAATCAACCATCCATGGGTGAATATGAAAATGGCTATGAAAAGTAGATTCCTTTGTTCTGCTAGTGGGAAATTTCTAATGTTGTTACCAGGTATGAAAAGAGTCCTGATTTGCAGGAAAGTTGTGGGCAAGAACACAACAGAGGAGCAGCTCTTGGGTGTGATTTTAGTTTGTGGGGTAAATTGGCACCCCCAGACAGTGATTTGCAGCAGGGCTGGGGAAAGATGATCCAGAGGAAAAGCTTTGAGGAGCTTTAAGGTCACCCTCCATGACCTGCAGATCTCTCCCATCGGCTCAGGTTGTCTCTGGACTCTTCTGCGAGCAGAGTGAGGGGTGGGAAAAAGGCCCTTCCTGGCTGCCCGGTTCTTAGATCCCAGTGAGGCATTTGGTGCAAGTACTGCCGACCATCTGGTTCTCTTCTTGTTGACTGCTTCGTTATCTTTACAAGACTATATTTACTTTATTTCTACATAACTTGTTCTTGTGCCTGCTAAAGTAGATTTTTATTGAGCCTACAGAATAAAGATTAAAAAAAGTGCCGAGCCTAACAATGAATCTGAGTGTACCTGTCCATCCGGAGTGCCTGGAGAAAATGTTTTTCAGTTGTTTGAGTGACGGGCTCTTGAGACACAGGGTTTTTAGGCGCTAGATTGTTATCTAAGGCATGGCTTTTATTAGGCTGAAGTAATAGTGCTTTTGGCCTTAACATCTTAAATAATTCTTTGAAATAAAAGAGCATCACAGTGACTATGCCTAATCATTGTAGAAAATCCCTAGGGATTTTCTTTATTTACTTTTTAGAGTAACTTATCTATTTTTGTTTCAACAAACTGTTCAATACAGACTTTTTGTAAGACCCTGAGTTAACAACAGGCTGTGAGTGTTTGGATGCTCAGAAAAATTCACTAAAATAGATATGAACTTAACTTCTAGGAGAAAATGCTATTAAAAACATGAAATTATTGGATATGGAATTACTGGAATCTTCCTCTTTCTCTAGCTGAACCCAGTGTCTAGCAGAGACAAGATACATTGCAATATTGTCCCTGTTACAAGGAACATTATTAATCACTCAAGGCCTGAGTCCAGCTCAGTAGTTGCTGAGCTCCTTTTGGGGTGTTTTGAATGTGATGTGTCTGGTTGCACTGACTTCTCACTGGAGAAATGCTCGAGTGACTGTTCACTGCAGAACGAGACTCTATGTCAGTTAAGTTCTTCATTTGGGAAACCTTTTCTGGAAGTTGTTCATACTACTTTGGGCAAAGGAGTGTCATATAATTTTTTTCTTATCCAAATATCTCTTCTATTGACCAACTATACATTTCTGTGCATAAAAGTGCTCTGATTTTTCATTCAGAATAGAAGTATTTGAAAATTTTTGTAAAGTCCATAAACGCAGTAGCAGAGTGCTAACCGTTCCTTTGAGATAAGTTGCATTTTTTCATATTTCATGTTGTAAACAATGCATGAGTGTATGTGAATAACCTATATACTCCTTTAAATATTCAGTATATTTAGTGAAAAAGACATCGCTTTTATTTCAGTGACTAACCAAACGTGGCATAAATGGAACATACTGATTATTGCAGCCGAGAATACAATGTAAGGAGGACATATGGCAGAGCTAACACTTAATTTAGAATGAAAGCACTGGTGGATAATTGCCAACACTGCTCATTCAGTGTTAGGTAATAAATTATCCATCTGCAAATTTCCTTAAATATCACATTATATTATTTTACACAGTGCTTTTCCCATCTCAGCAGGCCAAATTTTAAAGCACCTCGTGGTGTTGAAGGAGGCCCCAGGACCCAGAGGTGTTGCTGAACGCGGCTCCGTGGCGGGAGCAGCTTTGCAGAGCGGAATTTTAAGGTTGAATTTTACAAAGACAACCAAATTTCTTCTCTGAGTTTAAAAACTCTATGCCAAAGAGAGATGACCATTTATTTTATCCCTGGGGGGGAAGGAAGGACAAGGAATGGTTGTTTCAAGTTTGCATGAACAACTCATCAGAAGTGCGGGTGTGTGGGGCTGGAAGGATGGGGTGTCCCTTGTGTGTGCTGGATAGGTATGAGCTGTCTGGAGTTGTGATTGTTCACCTTTTACTATCTTAAAATATGCTAAATTTCAAAACTCTACAGACTTGGCAATGTGACCAGAGGGAAAATGTATATATGTATATAGTATAGGGTGGTAGTTACATGGTGGAACTGAGGAGGGTTTTGTGGATTGTGTTCAGAGATGATTTAGTGTGGCCGAGAGCGACCGCCTGTTCCCTGCGCCCCCCTGTTCTGCTGTGCTGTGAAACCGGCCCCTGGGCCGCTCCTTCCCGAGCACCTGGTAGAGGGAGCAGGGTCGGTGCATTACAGAAACAAGCGGAAAAGGGGTTGGATCCCACGTGGGAGCTTGTCCCTGCGGCAAGGGGGGAAGGAGGTGTTTGAAGTCACTGAATGTAGAGACCCCAAGGAGGCCAAATCTCGCAAACAAACCAAAATGAGTCCCCCCCCCCCGGCCCCCCTAGCCCCGCTGCTGCATCCAGGGCTGCTCCGCCAGGGTTGTGCGGGAGGCTGGAACCTCCCGCTTATCCCGGATAAACGGCAAGGTGCCGTGCGTCTGTGAATCTGGGACTAACCTTGGTTGCTCCAAGTATAAATCATGAGCAACTGGGGATCTAAATCCTGTCATGAATTTTGATTTATAGTTATGCTTTGTTCCCCTCTTGTGCCTTGTGCAAACAACTTGCCATTTTAAAATATAATGGCAATTTAACTTGCTTGCAGCATCTCCCCCTTTGCCCCAAGCCTTTCTAATCCCTACTTGTAGTGAAAGAATTTCAAAAACTTTAGTGGTTTCATGAATGATCATGTAAGAAAAGTTCTTACATCAGTAGCCTGATGTAACTTTGCTCCCTTATAGAATATAAATGTCCTACTATAAAAGCATCTTTCCTGTCTTACGGATCCTGGGATGGGTGTTGAGTATTTTGGTTTTGTTTTTTTTTTTTGCTGTTACTTGAATGGAATCCCTTTCTGATATTCCTGGTCACGAACCTTCCCTGATCCCACTTGATTGCAAAAAAAAAAAAAAAGAGGCCAATGTGCTTTTTGTTGTAAAGAAAGAGAGAAAACCTCTGTGCTTCCATCTTTGTTTGTTCTCACAACTTCATTCACTTACTGCTTGCGAGAAACCACTGACCTGAGCTTGGGGGAAGCTTGTCTGCTGGAATGGCCTTTCACCATTATTTGACGACACCAAAAAGTGGATACATTTTTGCTGTCAGTTGCTGCAATTGTGACGCTTTAACAGTTCCTGGAACCGGATGTTCGTTTTTGGTTTTAAATTTGAGGTAAAAATCAGTACTAGTTACTGGTCCTGTTGAACTCCTGCTATTGTGGGACATATTTCAGCACTGTATAATCCAAGCTCATATCCATGCCATTAATTGGACAGGACCCTTAAATTCAGTTTAAGCTTTTCTACAACCTAACATTGTCTCTTTGCAATATCTTTATATATATCTTTATATATATATATACATACACACACACACATATATATGTTCAAATTGAATTAAAAAAATGCACTGAGAAGCAGTGAAAAATCAATACGTTGTTCAGAACACGGGACTGTGTGGTAGGGACGTCGCAGTTTTATCTGATGCGCTCGGCTTTAAGTGAATCTGGAGCTCGCTTGCGGCTACAAAAGCTGCCCATGACCTTGAGCAGCTCGTCCCAGGCAGCCAGGGTGGCCTCCCCTCTGAGATACCCAGCTCTGCCTTTTATCATGTCTGCTGGCTATCAGATAATGACTTTTCTCTTCTTGCATTGACATCCTTATTATAGAGGCAGAATGAATAAGATTGGATCACCAGCAGCCTGCAAATTGAGAATGTCAGAAGCGCAGAGCATGGGGCTGTGCAAGGGCTCGGAAAATAAATCTTTGCAGATGCTCTGGCTTTAGGGTATTATGTTGATGTCACAGCAGCATGTATAGGTACTGTTTCAAATTAACAGGAAAAGTCTTCCAATTTTCAGATCCATGGTCTATTCTATCAACATGATAAATACCACTGCAGTGAAACAAATCACTCTGTAGCAACCCACCCTGTGATGGACAGTATATTCCTTCCACTGTTTTCTCATATACAAACATCTTTGAACAAATACAGTTTTATAAACAGGGCCTGAATCTATTACCTTTTCTTTGAGAAGCTCTCTATTAGGTCTTGGAAATAAGCATGATGAGAATCATATTTTACCATTTGATTTCGTAAGCTAAAATCCAATTTAGGTCAGCAAGGCCTTGACCAGGGCAAAAGCAGTAATTTTGTGTTGTAAGAAATTCTGATATTTTGGCACATGACCTTTTCACTCTGAAACTGAGAGGGAAAATAGCAATATATAAAAATATATATATTTATTTATTCTGAGCTGGCAAGTTTTGAAGAATTGTCACTGGAAAATAAGTCTGTATTTTACTTGAGCAGCGTGTCTGAGCTGTGTGGGGCTGTCTCGTGCCATCTCTTTAAGAGGCTGTCCTCTCATCTGGACTGTGTCTAATGTGACCTAATGAGGTAGCTCTGGAGCAGACAGCAGCAAAGGGAAATGCAGCCCAGCCAGGAAGCCAAATCCGTGTGGGGAAAAACACCCCCCCACACATCAACACACACATGCATGGAAAAGCCACAAGCCAAAACTTTCATAGGGTCCTGAGCTTAAACTGCTACCTGGAATTGCAGGATTTGTATCCGCTCGGTGCTGGAGTGCTTGTGGTTATGCCCTGCTGCTTATATAGGGTAGCTCCTATAGAAACTCTCCT